TACGATGCAGCTGGGCTGAAAACGAGCCGACGCTATTGGGTTTTTGTGTGCACGCTCGCTGCAGTTTTTGCATCCTGTCTGCTTGCGTGACAAGCCAATGACTTTGTGTCACTGCGAGCACACACTTGGTTTTCCTGAGCTGTATGTTTCACTGGGTGATTTGTTTTATGCATGTATTGTGGATTTGAGCTCCCATCTGTGCACTTGAACTAAGCAGTTTTCTCAAACGCTTGTCAGTTTTTCTTTTTTTAATTAACTTTAGATTATTTTTCCTGAGAATTTGGAGAGGTTTGATGTACTGTTAGCGCAGGCAACAGAAGCTGTCTCTATCTACAAATAAGACACGGATTTCCTAGCATGTGCCTCAGTCCCTCCCTTGCAGTTTGAGAATATTTCAGCTTCCGTGGCCGGTTCACTCTTGCTTGTCTGATGCTGCTGCCAATGGCGAGGACAGTTAACGATGGTTAGAGTGGGTTTTTTGGTGTCGATATTTGTTTGCTGTGAATGAAATGGAGGAGGCTACCAAAAGGGTTTGATTGAGGCTGTGCAGCAATGATAAAAATACATCATTACTGGGTTGAGCTGGTGATGTGGGAGCAGGATGCTGCATCGTCTCTGCGGTTACCTGAACCTCGCTCCTGGGCCAAACTGCCCGGGTGCTTTTGCAGCCACACGGCGGGACACGTAGCACGGCCGTGCTCCTGCAGGTGCGAAAAGCCTCTGTTCTGCAATGGGGGCCACCTTCAGAACCAACGCGAGTGTAAAATCACCGCATCCTAGTGACGGTTTGCCTCACCAGTGGATGTGGGGACTGACCAGGTTGAGGTTTTTTTCCTCCTTTATACGTTACGTGCAGAGGACGTGCTGTTTGCATAGCAAATCCCTGGCCAAGGGGGCCCGAAACCGTTAGACCCGTAGCACAGTATCAGAAAGAAAATGTCTTAGGAATTCTGTGTATGTCAGCTGTAAGAGATAAGCAGTTGTGCTATAATTTACCTCTTCTTATTTCCATCGTGATAACGTAGAGACTCCTGAGCTGTTGATGAAGAGTATTCTTCTTGGCACTGCACTGCAAGATGGCTTCTTCCCAGACTGGTGGAAGTAATCTTGTTCCTTTTCAATATCTCACTTGGGGGAGATGGTTTTGGTGTGACTCTGGTCATTTTTCATCCTTTATAATTGATTTGTTCTAGTAATATTGGTGTACAGAACGTAGAGACCTGAAGGTGGGGGGAAAAAAATCAGTGCTGAGAAAGCAGCCGAAGGTATTATGTCTTAAGGTTGGCCGTGGGGAAGGGATCTTAATTTTCCTTGCTGTTTGGAGCAGGGAAGCTCCAGGCATGCACAGAGGTATCAGGTTTTTTCCCTACTGTCTAAATTCTTCAGCATGCGTGTACGTGACTTCTGGGGAGGAGTAAATGAATGTAGGCTCAGGTGGGGCTGAAAATAACATTTATTATGGAAAGAGTAGGGGTGAGGGGAGTCTTCCAGCCCAGCCTCGAATAAATCAGTCCTCTCACCCCTTCGTCCAGGCTGCTTCTAGGTGGCTGTCGTTTATCCAGCTGGTGCAGCGTGTTTCTGTTTAAATGATCTCTCCTGAAAGGTCCCAGAGGAAAGGGCTGCTTATTCCACGCGAGGAGGATGGTGTATGGCACAGTTCATTGTTGTGTGCCCTGCTGCAAGTGCATAAATATGAAACAGCTTGCCGGCGGTGCTGCGGTGGGGCTGGTGTCCCCTCTGCGCTTCCCCCCCTCCCTTCTCCTGGAGGCTCCTCTCCATCTTTCCTCCTCTCTGGCTTTCATTTCTTGGTGATGGAGAACAGGAGCTGTTTGGGTGTGAGATCCTGAGGGCTTTACGTTGCAGCAGCATTTTTC